CCCCCCTGCACATTCCAACTTCTTCCACCGCCTGTCCCACTCCAACTTCTTCCAACGCTTGTCCCACTCAAACTCCTTTCATACTCCTGCCCTCTCCAACTCTTCACGCGCCATCGCACCTCAACATGTTCCATGCTCCGTCCAAGCCCTGTTCCTACCCACACCTTGTTCAACTTTCCTCCACGTCCAAATCCTATCCAGTCCACCCCTCTACCACATCTTATGATCAGATCCTCCCAGGCGTCCCAACTGCATAACTCTTTCCTCTCTGACCCTGTGCCTTTCCCCAGTCCTTTGCCCACCACACCTTCCCAAAATCCCCTCATCACTGGAAACAGTGCCCCCACCTCTGCCGCCCAAGGTCCCATCCCTTTGCTCTCTGATTTAGAGTTGACAAAAATTAAAATATAATCTAAAGCAGGCCCATAGCCAGGGGGGTTCGGGGTTAAAAAAAACCCCACCCTTTTTGCAGGGAAAAGGTCCACTCTGGGTAAAAATTGATCTATGTACTTGAAGATTTTATGGTAAAAGGTCCACTTTTTCAGAAAACGAACCCATCCCTCTGAAATTGCTGGCTAGGGGCCTGTTAAGGATCAGCAAGCTTCTGCATGAAGGTAATGGCTAGCCATTTAACTACTACTGAAAGAATAGACCCGACAAAGAATATTGAAGGATCAAACAAAGGCCAAGACAAATGTGTGCTGATGGAAATTGAGAGAGTAGTTTTATAAGAAACACCATCCATAAATTTTACCCCAAACATAGGGAAGACAACTTTTACAGCAAAATGGTGACCGCCATGAACACGACCAACAAGAATCTTAGGAATTAAAAAAAGTTGTAATCTCTGTTTACTTATGTTTATTATCATATGTATATACCAGTGACACTTGGGAACAAGGCCAGCAAGCAAAACTGAAAACAGCAAGCAGCTTTTCAGGACTATTAAGAACAACATTAAGTCTAACTGCACCCTTCTTTCTGAAGTTTGCTCTGTCCATGCTTGTAATAATCTAGACCCTGTGCTGACAGAGAAAACCCCTGCATTTCCAATGTTGAAGTCCCATATGTACATTCAGAGAAACCTTCCAACCAGTCATCTGTTTTAGACTGTATAATTCGCATTTAAGGAGGACACAAAACTATTTGACGTCTTTCATGTTTACATTCATTTTGATGTCTTTGTGTTCATTTGAGAGAGATTTAATCAAAGCTCAAAAATATGATAGCTAAATCTACGGAAGAACCAAAGAAATGGGATGATGTCCTACCAGGATATGTTTTCTCTTACAACACCTCTATACACGAAAGCACAAGATATTTCCCCTATTTTCTCATATTCAGAACATATGTTCATTCACTCTATCTAGTTAAAGGGATAATAACTCTTCATTTTGGCCAAAAATGAATTTTCCTGGAGTAAACAACAATTTTCCCATACTTACCAATGGTTAATGAATCTATTTTTACATTCAAAGGTAGTCCCAATGCTTGCTTACAGGAGAAAAAAAATCTCTCGGATATCATCACATCAAGCAAATTAAAAAGCAATAAAGCAATAAATCTAACCAAAAGAAAGATGAACCAAACTGATAACATATTCCAAATTGGACTCTGTCCTTATCAGGCCCAACATTCAACTGCAGGAAGATACAACACACAAAAGTGAGCCTACTAATAACCACCGATATAAGGACTGCCCTTCTAAGGACCCAAAAAGATCATTTACTCTAAACAGCAAATAGGATCTCAAGTCTAAGATCTCAAGGAGAGTTTAGCAACCATTAATAAATACTGCCCATCTCAGAACCCCCGCTTTAGTTTATCACATAATTAAAAAGAGAGACAAGAGGAAATACACAAACTACCATAACAACAAAAGATCACAATTCAGGAAACTTGAATAAAATATACAGACTTCAGACTGAAATTAAGAACCAGCCAGATAAGGAGCTAGCAGTTAACCTAAAAAGGAACTCCACCAATCAGGGAATTAAAGGATTACATGCATACAACCGAAGCACAACTCACATGAACCAATCAGAATGAAGTAACATCAAGGAGATCCGTGCACTCTTTACTTATAACCAGATTAATCGTGGGATTAAGCATAAGTCTGTTTACACAGCAACTAATGATGTACCACCCCTTATCACCCTATGGGAAATGGCATGTGTGAGCATTTCAATCATACTCTTTTGACATGCTGGGTACTCTTGAGGAGGAAGAGAAGAAGGACTGGAAGAGCCCTTTGCCATTTTTGGTCCATGCGTACAATAGTACCATTCACCTTTTTCATTAATATTTGGCCAAGAATCTCATCTTCCTTTAGACATTTTGCTTGATAAGGATTGCCATGAAAAATCTCAGGAATGGTACACACAATACATGAAAGACTTTAAATCCACATTAGTCAAAGCTCACCAATTAGCTAGAGAAAACCCATTTTCAGACCCGACTCTTGTGTTGTTGCTTTGATACCATGTTAGCAGTATGATTTATATTGATTATATTGATTTATATTGATTGATTAATATTACATATCAGCTGGCCAGCAAAAAAGACCAATACCATATCTGTGTTAAATGTGGGAACATAACTTTGAGGCACCTGCTGAAAGAGATATCCAGGGAATGTTTCCACTTTCTTTTGCATGGTGGTGACATCCAGATGGAAGTGACTGGTAAGCCTAAGAATTAAGTTTACATTGAGGCAGGGTGGCTAGGAAGTACCCTGCGTTCTTCTCTTCACGTCTAAGAATCCAAAACTTCTGAAGAGGACAAAGGATCTCCTGACTTCTATTACCGGGTGTTGGTAACAATATCAACAGGAAGCCTGACAGTGCTTGTAAAATGTCACCAAATGGCCCTTTTCAGGGTCACTTCATATTGAGAAAAGTATTTATACCAGTATGTTATGAAACCTTTAAAACACGCAGTATAATAGCAATTACATGTTCAATTCTGATCCTTTTCAAATTGCATATCATAAGAACAGGTCTACTGAGGATGCTGTTGATACCACTTTACATAATGTCCTTACGTTTTTAAAATGTAAAATCCCCAAATATGCACAACTATAATAGAGATGATTTTAAAATTTGAAACTCATTTTAATTTCATAAGATATCTAGTAAAATGCCTTCATGGTGACCTTAATCTGCAGTCGGGATCATTAAATTATATTCACTGTGTGTTGATAACATCACAGGATAGATAGCTATTGTTGTTTTGGAACAATTAACTGATCCCGTCTGGAGATGAAGATAGAGTTCTAAAACATCAAAGTCAAAGTTTAAGATTTATATCACATCTATTGCGTATTGTTGGCTGGGGATAATTTAATACTGAACTGACCAATGAAAGGGAAGGGGACCACCCCTCACCTCAAGAGTGCCACTGGACTTTTAGGACAGTTGAGCTTAAGCTTTCATCGTATGTACATTATTTGAATGCTCTACTTAAACAATAAAATTCTGTAACCATCCAAAGATTTATGTTGGTTATACTGGTGGAGACAAGTGGAAGATCCCTATACAACCTCTCATGAGCCAGCCAAACAATAACAGGGTGAATACTAGGAGCGCAGCGGCAGCAGAAATGGCGAATGGAAGACAAGAAGAACCTCTTCCCCAGCAACAAGCCCAAGTGCTTGTTACCTTTCCCACTTTTTTTACCCCAGATCCCTTTTATGGGGACGTTGAGGAGGAACCGCAACACTGGCTTGCAAAGTATGAGGCGTTTGTGGCCAATCAGCCAGACAAAACGCAGTATCTGCCTTTCTTATTAAAAAAAAGGGCAGAACTATGGTTTCAAGCTCTACCAGAAAGAGTAAGAAAAGACTTCACCTTATTTAAAGAAGAATTTCTAAATTCTTTTCAACAAACCCAGCAAATGAAGCTGCAGAAAACTGTTGAACTGTTTCACCAAAAACAGGGGGACGCAGAGACAGCAGTAGATTTCCTCACAAGGATGAGGAAACTGGGGAGAAGCACTACATTAGATGACAATAGTCTGATTTGTGCCTGTATAAATGGGCTCAGACCAGAAATCCGGCCCTTCATAATTCAGAAACAAGTTCAGACAATGGCTGAGCTGCACCAAGCAGCAGCCTTGGTAGAAATAAGTTTCAAACCTACAGTAGCAAGTGCAGCTACTGCAGAAGGGAACTTGATCCAAAGCCTGATGAATCGGATCAACATTCTAGAAAACAAACAGAAGTCCGTGACTTTTGAACCAGCCCCACGAGGACGACCGATAATAAAACAAGGAGAAAGAAGACATTCCCAGTCGCCTAGAGGAAGGTCACCTGAACGGAGAGAAGAATGCGGGAGATGTGGTAGGTGGAAACATAGATTTATCAGTGATTGTCCAGCAATGGGTAAAGAGTGCCATAAGTGTAAAAAACTAAATCATTTCGCAAAAATGTGCAAGTCACAATCACATTAGGGGTACGGGCGTAATATGCAGATTTCCAATACAAAAAATCATTCCATAGATGCAATTTTAAAAGCAGATCCAGTGGATCATAATTTGGTTGTCATCAAAATTAACAAAATTCCTGTTTATGCTCTTGTAGATACTGGTGCATCAATGTCTTGTATTTCCAACAAACTTTTGTCAAAATTGGATAAAAATTCTTATAGTCATGTCAGACCTCAAACATCCCAGGTTTTAGGAGTAACTGGTCAACCACTGAATATCATAGGTGCAGTTGAAGTCAAATTTTCCATTGAAAATCAAAATTTTTCACAAATTCTTCATGTTTTTCATCATTTACCGAGAAATGTCATTCTAGGACTGGATTTTCTGAAAAAGTTTTCTGCAAATATTTCTCCAGGATCCAATACCATAACTTTCGAAAAATCAAATGACAAAATTCAAACTGAAAAGGCCAATTATTTGGGTTATGCACGCTCTTTATGCTCTGTTACTGTTGCTCCTAGATCAGAAGTACAAATTCCTTTACGTGTTGCTCGTACAAAGAACACTAGTGTCCACACAATATTACTGGAACCTGTAGAAAATAAACACTACATTGCTAAAAGTATTTGCAACATCTCAAAAGGTGTATGTAGAATTTACAACCCAACTGATGAATTTTATAAGATCAAAAAGAATGCAGTTTTGGCAAAAGTTTTTCCAGTGTCAGTTGATGATATATCATGCTCAAACCCAAATGCTCACATCAACTCTATACAAAATGAAATGAATCACATACCAACCGAAACAAAAGAGCACAAAGCTGAGGATTTTATTGAAAAAGCAAAAAGTCTTGGTATAAATTTAGAAAATTCAGATTTAAATGATGCACAAAAGAACATTTTGTTAGATTTCCTTGGCCAAAACAGAGATATTTTTGCCACAGATGTCAGTGAATTAGGTTTAGGAAAAGTTCCAGGTCTAAAAATTGAAACAGGTGATGCCCAGCCTCAAAGACAAACGTTTTACCGACAAACTCCTGAAAAACGAGCCGAAACTATGAAACAAACCAAAGAAATGTTGGAAAATGACATTATTGAGCCCTCAACATCTGAATGGGCAGCCCCTGTTGTTCTAGTTAAAAAGAAAGATCAATCATACAGATTTGCAATCGATTACAGGCGCTTGAACAATGTTACAAAACCCTTACATTTCCCTTTACCACGCCTTGAAGATGTCTTTGAAACAGTAGGTGAAAAACAACCAACACTTTTTACATCTATTGATATGACAAGTGGTTTTTGGCAATTACCCCTTTCAGAGGAAGCCCGAGAGAAAACTTCATTTATCACACATCATGGACAATTTCAGTTTAAACGCGTCCCTTTTGGTCTCAGAAATTCTGGTACTTACTACCAATCAGCAACGGCTCATGTCCTCAGTGACCTCAACTGGAATATTGCTTTGGCATACATTGATGACATTTTGATATTCAGCAAAAATTTTGATGAACATTTACAAGCACTACAACAAATTTTTGAGAGATTCAAGCAATTCAACCTAAAACTAAAACCTCAAAAATGCAAATTTGCCTTACCAAAAGTCACATTTTTAGGACATACAATATCAAAGCAAGGCATAGAAGTTGACAATGATAAAATTAATGCAATAAAAGCAATTGCTCGTCCCCAGAACCCTAAACAAGTACGAAGCATGTTAGGATTGTGCAATTATTACCGAAGATTTGTTAAAAATTACGGCAAAATTGCTTCACCACTATACAAACTGACAAGAAAAGATGTTGACTTTGAATGGACCTCAGAATGTGAAACTGCCTTCAAACAACTAAAACAAGCCCTCTCTTCAACACCCATCCTGGCATTTCCTGACATGAATAAGCCTTTCAAAGTAACTACCGATAGTTCTGACTTTGCAATTGGGTATATGTTAAGCCAAGTAGGTGCAGATGGCAGAGAGCATGCAATAGCTTATGGAGGCAGATCCATCCGAAAACACGAAAAGTCATAGTGCATTACAGAAAAAGAATGTTGTTCTTATTAACATTTCATGCAAGTTACGAGGTTTAGTTATAAATATCACTATTTAATATGGCATTCTTTCATTATTTAAGGCAAGAGAAATCCAGTGGTGAAAGGTCCAGAGGAAAGGTCCTATAGCCTGAACAACAGAAGACCTCATGCTAGAATGGCCAAATGCTAGGGTGGCTAAATGTTTAGAGTCTACACTGAGCTACACCCTTCTCTTCTGGTTATGGATGCCTTCTCCACCCATACCACTGAGAGAGTGGTGCAGGCACTGTAGTGAGTGTCAGCAAAGCCAGCCATCATCCCAGGAGGGTGCACCTCTAAGGCCTAGCCCCTTGAACAAGCCATTAAAAGGCCATCTTAGGAGGATGTGGTCTGAGAGGATGTGTGAAGATGGCAATAAATATGCCAGGTCTTACAGGTACCCATGTTCCATCCTCTTTGCTTATATTACCCACAACTCCTGGTGTGTTCTATATAAGTAATATATTTCTATTGCTCCTAATTTCAGGTGACATCCACCCAAATCCAGGTCCTCAAAAACAGGTTGAGGGAGTAATTATAATGTTTGCTAACATCAGAAGCATCGGCGGTGAAAATGGTGCAAGATTTGCAAGAACAAAGAATTCTTGGGAGATAGAAATGGTGTCAACTGGACGAAGATCCCCCTCCCCACCCTCGAAAGTCAGCATTAGAGGAATCGGAGGTTGAAGGAGATTTTTCAGCTGATGAGTGGGAGGATCCATGCCTAGAAAATGCTGAATGGTAGAAGAAAGTACCTTTGTTTATAGTTTGATCAAAATTGGGGTGTTATTTTTTTGTCGATGCAGAAAATCATAAAACTTCTAGATCTCCCAATCACTCCAGTCATTACACTACTTAAATTGTGTTTTTGTACAAAAAGACAATTAAACATATTGCATTTCAAAGCCGCCTAACTTGCAAGTCGACAAATTCAAACCAACTTTGTTTTTATCATAAATGCACTTTAAGTGGTAGACATTTATCTCTTCATTATTAAAAAATATTTTCCAGGTGTTTGTGTTGTTCATGTCATCCAATGTCTGATGGACTAGAATGCATATGTTGTCGTGAGCTGAGCCCCATAGAAGACAGACTAGAAAATGAAAATTGCATCATGCATGTGGCTACCTTCACCAGTGTGTGTCTTAACAGAGACCTGATTGAAGTTAATATGTACCAGAACGTGGAACAGGAAGGACCAACTGATGACAATGTGCCCATCAACAAGTAATGTTATTTACTTTTATTCTAAGTCCTTGTCCATATAATTGAAATAAATTAGTGACATAATAATAAATATGAACAATTAGCACTGTTTTTCATTATCCTTAGTATTTATTATAGGTGCACTTCCTTTTGTACTAAAATTGCACAAATAAAATGTACATAAATAAAAAAAACAAGTATTAAATTATAATTACCACACTGACTGATTTATGGCAGTGGCATTTTTATCTTCATACATTCCTCGCTAAAATATTCTTTCAAACATTTGTTCCAGGTTAAATCATTTCATAGCTTATCGCTCCTTTACAAGGTGGATATCCACCATAATTTAGGAAGGAAGAAGAGAATGGTTATTCCCTCCTGTGTTTTATTTAACATAAGAGAGAGATTTCCATCCCAGGAGTACAGAGGTTTTAAGGATGCAAGACCATGATAACTCAGACGTCTTTCTGGGGACCAGTTCATGACCGACTCTACTCATGGGGCGCAGCTTTTTAAAGCCTTTACACCAGGAGCCATCCCTACCAAACAATTTTAGTGTTGATGGCCTCACGACTAACTTTTATTGCTCAGGGGGAGCAACGCTCACTAGTTTCTTGTATGATCCCAATTTTTGGCCTCTTCTAAACATAATTGGAAATCAATGTCTTTCTGGTTATGCAAGTCTCATTGTTTCTAATTACAGCAGGACGCCGGAAGACAGTGGATGAAAGGACAGTCATGCTAGAGGATGTCCTAGCATTCATCACCGGCTCAAGGACAATTCCTCTGCTAGGTTTCACCTTGGCTCCTCGAATAGAATTTTCAGCACAAATAATGCCAACAAGCAGAACGTGCATAAATGTTCTGTATCTCCCTATTGATTACCCTCAAATGGAAGTCTTAAATGAAGCATTTGATGAATCTTTTATGAGTAATTATTTTGGAATTTCTTAATTAGAATTTGACAGACAACTCATTACTATTTAGGCAGCAAACTTAGATATAGTTTTTTGTCAACTGGGAGAAAATGACATCAGCCCAGCAGTGACCTCACCAGCTTCCATTGTTTCTGCCGTCCTTCGTACGATCCACACTATCATTGATTACAATCCCAATATTCAGATAACAATTTGTGCATTCATTTTCAGAGATCAACATTGTGTGTAATTACTAGTACTTATATTATACTGACATGGTTATCATTTGTTTTCTGTTAAATTATTTATGTGTACCAAAAACTTGTTTCCTTAATTCATAGTTATTATTTCGCAAATCGTTGATCCTGGAATCTTGAATCTTTATCTTCTATGTCGTCACAGTATCACGTGACCCGAATCTGTTGCCTCTTTTTTGCATATTGAGGTGAGGTTTACTAAAATGATTTTTTTCTACTAATAGATAGTTTTTATACTTTTTAAAAGGTGGGTGTTGATGCAAACATATCTATAGTGTATAGTTCGATTGCTGAATTTACAAAATTTGAGAAATGAATTTTAACATGACCAGAATCCTTTAATGATATCTGCCATTTAATAAAATTCAATTCATGCTCAATTAATGCTAATTAAAATATGTGTTGTTGTTAGTATCTTAAACTAAAACAAAATAAATGTTACCTGCCGTTGAACAGTTTAATAAAATAAAATCAATTAATGATGTATTACAGCTAATTTAATTACATGAGGTTGTTAGTGCAGGTAGAGGTTGCATTTAGGGAACATTTGTGTTATTGATAACATTTAGGGACCTTGATAACCTGCACCTCATTGGAGGCATATTTCAAACACCAGACAAAGTACCCTCCAATGTTATGTCAGACCTTTGCTTTTGTTAACATTCTTATGCTGGCTCATGTTTGGCTTTCTGTCATTCTTTTCTCAAATATACCTGCTCATCCCAAGCTCATCCCAAGTGATTTTTTGTACAAAATTGGAGATGGTCTTCTGGAAAGAACAGTCTGTTACTTGTATGAAGTATTTACTTGGACATGCTCTTGTACTACTGATTATTACACTGTCTGTTTACACTGTGTGGCTAAAAGACAAACTGAAGGTGCTTTATAAATGGAAGATCTCCAAGTCCATAGTAATATATGGGACACAGAAAACATCCAACTTAACATACCTGCAGAATTGATGGACTGACTTCTTCTCAAAGGACAGTTTATAAAGTATTTAGGAAGACTTTAAAATCTGCCTGTCCATATTATCTTAACAGTTTTATAGAGCAATATAGCTGGTCCAACAGAAAATTTAGATTTAAAAGGGAGAAATTGACAAAAAGCTGAAAAACAGGAAGATACTTGTTAAGAAGTACTAAGAAGTATTGTATATTTTAGTAGAGATTACCATGAAATTATACTGGTAGGTGTTCTCTTACTGGCCCCTTTGACAGATAAAAAAACATCATTATAGACTTCAGAATTCTATGGCTACTTTACACTTTCAATTTATCTTCATAAATTACTAATATTTGTAAACAGTACTGAAATGAATAAGAGACAATTTGCCCTGCTTTCATAGATTGTGACAGTAGTGCACGCAGGACACAATGCAATCACAACCAGTCACAATCTCAGCACACAATTGATTTTTAAGGACATCATCTATACTTAGCAGCAAGCTGGATAAAAACACCAAATTTTGCAGGTGTACATATAAATATACCTTTTGACATACTAAATCATACTAGTCTCCTAACCCTCTGGGGAATAACCCCATTTGGGCAAATAGTTCAAGATGGTCACCAATTTATGGAATTCTATTAAAAAAATGTACACATCTCGGATAATTCTCCATAAAGAAACTTACTTTTGGTGTCTTTGCAATTGTCTGCCCTATATACTTTTTAATGAATGTGCCGGGTCACAAAGTCAAGGTTTGAAAGTCAACTGAAAGTCAGATGTCAAAAGTCTAACTGACTGGACAGCAAAGCTGGTAATAATGCAGATACCACACAGCAAAAAAGCACTGCAATATATCTAGTTTAAATAATCAAATTTTGTCAGGATATTCAATAGTGTTGATTTTCAAATTGAACCTGCCCTGATAACAAATAGTCACTCAGCAAATTTAAAGTAAANAAAGCTGAAAAACAGGAAGATACTTATTAAGAAGTACTAAGAAGTATTGTATATTTTAGTAGAGATTACCATGAAATTATACTGGTAGGTGTGACAGATAAAAAAACATCATTATAGACTTCAGAATTCTATGGCTACTTTACACTTTCAATTTATCATCATAAATTACTAATATTTGTAAACAGTACTGAAATGAATAAGAGACAATTTGCCCTGCTTTCATAGATTGTGACAGTAGTGCACACAGGACACAATGCAATCACAACCAGTCACAATCTCAGCACACAATTGATTTTTAAGTACATCATCTATACTTAGCAGCAAGCTGGATAAAAACACCAAATTTTGCAGGTGTACATATATAGATACCTTTTGACATACTAAATCATACTAGCCTCCTAACCCTCTGGAGAATAACCCCATTTGGGCAAATAGTTCAAGATGGTCACCAATTTATGGAATTCTATTAAAAAAATGTACACATCTCGGATAATTCTCCATAAAGAAACTTACTTTTGGTGTCTTTGCAATTGTCTGCCCTATATACTTTTTAATGAATGTGCCGGGTCACAAAGTCAAGGTTTGAAAGTCAACTGAAAGTCAGATGTCAAAAGTCTAACTGACTGGACAGCAAAGCTGGTAATAATGCAGATACCACACAGCAAAAAAGCACTGCAATATATCTAGTTTAAATAATCAAATTTTGTCAGGATATTCAATAGTGTTGATTTTCAAATTGAACCTGCCCTGATAACAAATACTCACTCAGCAAATTTAAAGTAAAAAATCAAACATGAGCTAAGGTCTTAGAAAATACCTCTAAACATTTGTCATGGGGAAAAAAATTAACCTATTAAAAAAAAAATTATAAGCTCTGAAGTCAGGTAAAAAAATGTGGAACTCTGTGGATCCCTGGAAACAGATCATGTCTGAAGACAATAAAGAAATCAGACCTTTCACATAAATAATCCAATCATACCAATTTTCGTTATGAAGCTGGCTAATCAACACATAGCCAGGCAGCAAATTTTATGTAAAAACAAAAAGAGCTTTGCTCTCATGGGGCAAAAACTTAAACAAAAAGACATGACACTTGAAAAAAAAAAGTAATCAAGAAGTTATGCAAAAATAATTTAATCATGCTGATTTTCCAAAGGAACCTCCTTTATTAACAAATACAGCCGGCCAGAAAATTTGTAGTTAAATGGGAGCTTTTAATGTGACCTATTTTACTGCTGCAGTGTTTTTTCATGACAAGTGCACAATTTCAAATAAACATATCCTGCATGTATATATGAACATTACACAAATAATGTAAAAGTCAATTATCAGTGGATTTAAAAATCCACAATAAAAGCAATCAAATAAAGCATGGCATGAATGTTTTTGACTCTCTGAATCCAGGCCAAATCCCAGTAACAGTAACCATTTTTGATCAGCCACTATTTAGTACAGTGAGTGCAATTATAGTAATTAATGAACAAAGTCTCAAGGTGAAGGGGTACATTTTAATACTTTGGGGGGGGGGGGG